GTTTATAACTTCAGCCTTGTCCTGTACTCAGAAGAGCCTCCTTTTAGATTCTAAACAGCTAATGGAGTGGCTTTGATAATATACTGAGCTTACTACACGAGAGGGGAGGTACAGGAGACAAACCTCACATGCACATTTAGTTTCTGAAATATTTTATTGTTGCACATAAATGTAACAGCTTCCACAAAAGTTCTCTGATCAGGTGAAGCGAGGTACCACCAATCCCAAACTGCTCCTTTTCAACTGCAGAAATAATGAACACAGTAGATAATGCATATGGCATAAGTTAATCCCTTTAGACACAGAGTTTTCACAACATATTTGATCACGCTCATTTATGGTTTTCTGATATATATGTATCAGGGGAAAATGGACATAACAATGGCTGACATGTTGCTGGGAGATGCTCTTTAATTTCAACAGCAGGAGAAAGGCAATGCAATATGAATGAAAGAAAAGAAACAGGAGACCCTTTCAGGCTTCCTCAGTAATCCTGTGATAATATCGGTTCCTACAGACAAATATTTAGGAAATACATAGGAAAAAAATGAGACCTGCTTTCCTAATTTACAGGCTATATGAAAGAATAAGAATGGTATTATAGAAATTTATTTCAGAATGACAAGGAATAAATGGATATAACTGCATATCAATGACTACTGACACTATAGTTTTACTTTATTTTCCAGCTTTATTTAGGTATAATTGACCAATAAAAAAATTGTATATATTTAAGATATACCATTGATAATTTGATATATGTATGCACTGTGGAATGATTACCACAATCAAGCAAATTAATATATCCATCACCTCACATGGTTACCTTTGTATGTGTGTGTGTGTGGTGAGAACACTTAAGATCTACTCTCTTAGCAAATTTCAAGTATTTGGTACAGTAGTAGATCACCACAATTATTAATCTTATAACTGTAAGTTTGTAGCCTTTGACCAATATCTCCCTGTTTCCCCCATTCCCCAGGCCTTGACAACCACTATTCAACTCTCTGCTTCAGTGAGTTCTACTTTTTTAGATTTCACATACAAGTGAGAAGATACAGCATTTGTCTTCCTCTGGGTTATTTCCCTTAGAATAATGCACTCCAAATTCATTCGTGTTGTTGCAAATGGCGGGCTTTCCTTCTTTTTTAAGGCTGAATAATATTCCACTATATATACATACAACATTTTCTTCATCCATTAATCCACTGACAGACACTCAAGTTGTTTCTACATCATGACTATGAATAATGCTGCAGTGAACGTGATACGGCATATATTTCTTCAAGATAGTGATTTCATTTCCTTTGGAGATATGCCCAGAAGTGGAAATACTGGTCGTTCCATTTTTAAGTTTTTGAGGAACTTACATACGTTTTTCATAATAACTATATCAATTAACATTCCCACTAACAGTGTACAAGGGTTCTCTTTTCTCCACCCACTCACCTACACTTGTTATCTTTTTTGTGTAGTTAGTGTTAGCAGTATGTGTTCAGGAAGAGGACTCGGAGGAATGAAGGGTCAAAAGCACAAAAAAATTAAGATACAGAAAGGACGGCTACAAGCACAGGTCATGACAGGTAAATTAAAATGAAGAGGATGAACAAAATAAAATAATTTCCCACCTCTGTAGAATGAATCATGTGAGTTGAGAATATGCAAAGACCTTACTCAAAGAACAGAAGATATTTCCCCAGAAATTCCAACTGGTCTGAGATTGCTTGATTCAGTCATTCAGCAGACATTTATTAAGAACCTTCTGTGTGCTCGGCACTGTTTGGTGTGCTCAGTGAATATAATAAAGATCTGTGATCTATAACATACTCTAATGGGGGAAAATAAACAATAAGCAACAAGCATGATAATAAATTAATAAATTATATGGTATGTTAGAAGATGAGAAGTGTTAAGGGAAAAGAAAGCAGAATTTCTGTGTCATATTAAATGCAGTGGTCGGAACAGACTCACTGGAGGAGGTAAGGTTTGAGCAAAGACTTGAAGGAAGTGAGTTAGTGAGATAAGCTGTTAAGTTGCCAGTCGGGATGTGTGTTCAAACCCTTGAAAGAAACTCAGACTTTAAACCTGGTAAAAAGAGCGCTGCCCTTGAAAATGAGCAGACCTGATTTCAGGTATTTATTCTTCTATTTACATGTGTAGTCATGTAGCTCAAAATCACTTAAATTCTATGACTCTCAATTTTCTCATCTGTAAAATGAATTCTGCAATATTAATACAATATTAGTACAGGAAAAAATAAAGAGCTTCACTGTTAATAAACTTTTTTTAGAATAGATTTAGATTTAAGAGAAAAGTTGCAAAGATAGCACAGAGAATTCCCATAGATTCTGTACCCAGTTTCCACTACCATTAACATCTTACATTAATATGATATATTTATCACAATTAATTAACCAATATTGATGCATTATTATTAACCGAAGTCTATCCTTTATTCAGCTTTCCTTAGTTTTTACCCAATGTCCTCTTTCTGTCACAGGACCCCAGCCAAGATACCACATTACATGTTTGTTTTTTGCGGTACACGTGCCTTTCACTGTTGTGGACTCTCCCGTTGCGGAGCACAGGCTCCGGATGTGCAGGCTCAGTGGCCACGGCTCACGGGCCCAGCCGCTCCGCGGCATGTGGGATCTTCCCAGACCGGGGCACGAACCCGTGTCCCCTGCATCGGCAGGCGGACTCTCAACCACTGCGCCACCAAGGAGGCCAACCACTTTACATTTAGTCTCATGTCCTCTGAGGCTCTTCCTGGCTGTGACAGTTTTTCAGATTTTTCTTATTTTTATGACCTGGACAGTTTTGAGGAGTAATGTTTAGGTACTCTGCAGAATGTCCCTCCATTGGGAATTGTCTGATGTTTTAGACTGAGGTGATGGATTTTGGGGAAGAAGACCACAGAGGTAAATGCCATTCTTACCACATCATGTAAAAAGTACATAATATCAACATGACTTATCACTGTTAATATAAACCTTGAAGTAGTATCTGGTTTCTCAAAAGGCTTCATACTTAAAAGTAGGTTTCTTAAAAAGTAGTAAACTAAAATCTGGACCCATTTCACTTGATGACACTTGTTGAGTTTATTGCCTAGGCCAGGACAGCTATTGATATATCCATTAAATGTCTATTGTAGAATCTATTTAGTGCTCCATTGTCCACAAAGCAACACATCTCTACTGTAAGAGAAAGTAATTACTGAGTTATTTTCTCTAAGATAGATTCTGTGGGAAGAACAAGAGTCTTACCATATACTTCCTTATTACTATATAAAAGCCTTTGGTCCTTCAATTCTATTTTAACACAAGGGGTAAAAAACATGTCTCTAAAAGACTTGCAACGTATCAAATATGTATGTTGCTTTGGAATGTAATTGTACTTCTGTCCAGCAACTTCTGTTTGGGAATTGGAAATGCAACTTCTGTTTGGGAATTGGAAATACATTTCCCAGTGACAAAAGCATATTTCAACTGAGGCAGCAAGTTGGTTATAAGGCCCTAGGTTGTGCTTCAGAAAATGAAAAGCAAACCAATCAGACAAGGATAGGCAGGTCTTGCAGGCTAACCAAAGCCTTCATCTCTTTCTAATTTTGCTTTCATGATTCCCACGGAGTAAATTATATTGCTCAGAGTGAAACGAGACCCTGTATGTTCACTCCATTATTCTTCTTATATGTTTCAAAAGATGCCAGACCCAGAGCAAGACTAAATTTTAGAGCCACACTGTCAATACCAGTGACAAAGATGATTGCATTAGGCATTGCTTTTTTTTAATTAAATTTTATTTATTTTTTTATACAGCAGTTTCTTATTAGTTATCCATTTTATGCATATTCGTGTATATATGTCAATCCCAATCTCCAAATTCATCCCACCACCACCACCCACCTCGGCCACTTTCCCCCCTTGGTGTCCATAAGTTTGTTCTCTACATCTGTGTCTCTATTTCTGCCCTGCAAACCAGTTCATCTGAACCATTTTTCTAGGTTCCACATATATGCGTTAATATACGATATTTTTCTTTCTGACTTCACTCTGTATGTCTAGATCCATCCACGTCTCTACAAATGACCCAATTTCGTTCCTTTTTATGGCTGAGTAATATTCCATTGTATATATGTACCACATCTTCTTTATCCATTCTTCTGTCAATGGGCATTTAGGTTGCTTCCATGTACTGGCTATTGTAAATGGTGCTGCAATGAACATTGGGGTGCATGTGTCTTTTTGAATTATGGTTTTCTTTAGGTATATGCCCAGTAGTGGGGTTGCTGGATCATATGGTAATTCTATTTTTAGATTTTTAAAGAACCTCCATACTGTTCTGCATAGTGGCTGTATCAACTTACATTCCCACCAACAGTGCAAGAGGGTTCCCTTTTCTCCACACCTTCTCCAGTATTTGTTGTTTGTAGATTTTCTGATGCCCATTCTAACTGGTGTGAGGTGATACCTCATTGTAGTTTTGATTTGCGTTTCTCTAATAATTAGTGATGTTGAGCAGCTTTTCATGTGCTTCTTGGCCATCTGTATGTCTTCTTTGGAGAAATGTCTATTTAGGTCTTCTGCCCATTTCTGGATTGGGTGGTTTGTTTTTTTAATATTGAGATGCATGAGCTGTTTATATATTTTGGAGATTAATCCTTTGTCCGATGATTCCTTTGCAAATATTTTCTCCCATTCTGAGGGTTGTCTTGTTTATGGTTTCCTTTGCTGTGCAAAAGCTTTGAAGTTTCATTAGGTCCCATTTGTTTATTTTTGTTTTTATTTCCGTTACTCTAGGAGGTGGATCAAAAAAGATCTTGCTGTGATTTATGTCAAAGAGTGTTCTTCCTATGTTTTCCTCTACGAGTTTTATAGTGTCCGGTCTCACATTTAGGTCTCTAAACCATTTTGAATTTATTTTTGTGTATGGTGTTTGTTTGTTAGGGAGTGTTCTCATTTCATTCTTTTACATGTAGCTGTCCAGTTTTCCTAGCACCACTTATTGAAGAGACTGTCTTTTCTCCATTGTATATCCTTGCCTCCTTTGTCACAGATTAGTTGACCTAGGCATTGCTATTTTTGAAAAGAAATTCATTTCAATCAAAATCACTCTTGGGAGGGCACAGAGTGGCAGCTGGGGGTGGTTCATTACCAGGTATTTGGTTCATGATTTTGATCTGTAAAAGTGTAGCAAGCAGCTGATGTAGCCATTGCTCTACTGTGGGAGGTCAGCTCTCCCTCCAGGGAGAAGTCTGATCCTTGTCCGGAAAAGCCCATTCGTCTTTGGATTGTCCTCTTCTGCTTCTGGTGCCGAGGTCCCGTTTGTCCTACACTCTCCCCGTTATTCCAGAACTTTGATTCACGATATGTAAGCCCCAAAGAGTTATGTAATTTGACATAACTTTGAAAAGTAAAATGTATTCTCTATCCAAAGAGATACATTTCTCGTCAAAGCAATTCTGATGTTGAGCTGCAGCTCTTAAGTCTGTTTTAATATTTTAGTTTTATATTTAACCACCCTTTTCCTTTTCATAACTCAGAGTCAACATCATTATAAGCTCTGATTATTGGCTAGAAAGAAGGAAAAAGGAGTAATTAATGATTGGAGGAAACTATTTTCCTTTAATATTCCTTTTTAAAATAGTGCAAGGGGGTGCCTTTAAATACAATGGAAGTTTACGTATACTTTTATTCTATTTTATTTTATATTGGAGTGTAGTTGATTAACAATGTTGTGTTAGTTTCAGGTATACAGCAAAGTGATTCAGTTATACATGTATCTGTTCTTTTGCAAATTCTTTTCCCACTTAGGTTATTACAGAATATTGAGCAGAGTTCCCTGTGTTATACAGTAGGTCCTTGTTGGTCATCTATTTTAAATACAGCAGTGTGGGATTGACATGTACATATACATTTATGTATAACTCCTGCCATCCATTCCCAATGTTCCCAAATCCATGTTCTTTATGCCCACATTATTTAATTTCATCAACTCCTATATGTCTCTCCCTGTGGTACTTCATTTATCTTTCTTAACCTCTCTGAAATATCCTTTTTTTAATATATAAATTTATTTATTTATTTTTGGCTGCATTGGGTCTTCGTTGCTGCCCTCAGGCTTTCTCTAGTTGCGGCGCGCAGGCTTCTCATTGCAGTGGCTTCTCTTGTTGTGGAGCACAGGCTCTATGCACGCAGGCTTCAGTATTTGTGGCGCACGGGCTTAGTTGCTCCACGGCGTGTGGGATCTTCCCAGACCGGGGCTCGAACTCTTGTCCCTTGCACTGGCAGGCGGATTCTTAACCACTGCGCCACCAGGGAAGCCCTGAAATATCCTTTCTTAAATAAGGGATAAATTGTATAAATTATGGAAGATTCCCCAGGAACAAGTAGTTGAATCAGTTTGTTGGCAAACAGCCATACTATTGATATATTGGGAGTAGAATACTAAAAATATGTTAGCAGAGGTGTGTGTTGTACCTACATATGACTTACAACACAGTCAATCTGACATATGTTTAACAATATTTTTATTATTGTATTGCATGACAATTAAGCATAAATGAGAAATATAATAGTTAATCTAATGTCTATATTTATCATGCTGAACCAAAGCATGTTTTCCTCACCTCTTTGTATGCTTTTCAGTATGTATAAATGACATGCACTAAAATGTGAGTTCCCCAAAGGCAGCTCACGTCCACTTCACAGTGTGTCCTTAGGTCTCAGCACAATGTCCACTTTATAATTTCACAATAAATGTTGAATAAGTAAAGCTATCTATACATTGAAGTTGACGGTTGTCCATGAAAACATATTATATAAGCCTCATTTCAGATTGACTTATGTCCAACCGAGATGATCCACACGATTCTGGACTTATTTTTGTGTCACTTATTTGTGTCTGGCATTGAGTTATACTCAGGTCTACAGAGATGAGAAGCCACAGTCCATGCTCTCCAGGAGCTCAGTCTAGTCAGAGAGGTGGACAAGGCAAGAAACAATGTGAAATGGCTGGACAAATGGCTGGACAATAAATTGCCTACGGGAGAATGAAGAAGCTGGAAAATCAGGCTTAGAAATTTGATTTAGAAGCAAAGGGTGTATCTCGCATGATTTTTAAGTAGCAAGTGACACTCATTAAAAACTAAGTGGTCTGGGGCTTCCCTGGTGGCGCAGTGGATGAGGGTCCGCCTGCCGATGCAGGGGACACGGGTTTGTGCCCCGGTCTGGGAAGATCCCACATGCTGCGGAGCAGCTGGGCCCGTGAGCCATGGCCGCTGAGCCTGCGCGTCCGGAGCCTGTGCTCTGCAACGGGAGAGGCCACGACAGTGAGAGGTCCGCGTACCGCAAAACAGACAAACAAACAAAAAAAACTAAGTGGTCTAACACTCCAAAAGCTGCGATTATTTGTACCTGTAACTCTAGCCCAGGGCCAAGAATGCCTGTAGCTGCCTTTCTAGCTTCTAGATTTTGTGGTTCTCAACCTCATCTGCTTATTATGAAAACCACCTGAAAAGCATATAAAGAATTAAAGTGTGGGCTTCAGTATTTATTCTGATTTACTGGTAAAACTGGGGGCTCAAGCATCATTTTTTAAAAGAAGCACCCCCAGGCAATTTTAATGTTCAATCAATCATGGTTGAAAATCATGATTCTATTTGTTTTCTTCCTTCTACTACTTGGATGAACTAGGCATCAGAAATTCAGACAGGAGGCTATAAATGGATGACTAATACTGGGAGCTATGGTATTACTGTGATGCTGCAAGAAATCATGTGAGTTTGTAGCTCACCCTGTGTACTGACTTGAGAGAAGTTCGTGATGTTCTACTCCCCTCACCAACTTAGAATCTCTGGGTAAAGACCCTCTAGCAGTGCCAGGCGAGCCAGGTCTACATTGATCTCTGATCTGATTCTGGAGATGGGGGAGGAAGGGAAAAGAGGAGAGAGAAAATATAAGGCCCCTAGGGATAGGGGAAGTGAAAGTAAAGGTGGGGAATGGGATGGAGAGACACAGAAGTAAAAATAACTTGAAATTACAACTCCTTTCTCATCCTCATTTTGCCATCATACTTACATGGATCCCAGAGGAGTGGAACAAAAATGCCTTCTCCCCAAATCTGGAAAAAATGATCTAATGTGCAAAGGATAGGTCTTTCCATGAAAAAGAGATATGCATAGATTATATTATTTACGTTGATTAAAGATTTATGTTGTTCATAAAGTCTCAAGAAAACAAGTTACTCAATGTCTGTGATCCTGCAGGCATTATGTCGACTTCCCTGGAACCAGTAGGCAAAGTTAAAGGAGAAAGAAAATTCCATGCAAGGAAGACCAATATGGACTAAGTTGGCCAGCCTGATCTATCACCCAATTTCTCTCTTCCATTCAACCTCACCCCAACTTTCTTTGTTCCTAAAGTGAAATGAATAAGACCAGTTAAAACTTCAAAGCTTGAACTCACTGTTAAGAGTGTTGGCATTCACATCAGATACCAAAGGCTTTATGGCAGAGCTGGGTAAGCGTGAAGGATCACCTTAGACACAGAACAGAAGAAATAACATTTTCCTGAAAAAAGTGCTGAAAGAATACTTCAGAACTCAGGCTTTTTAAATAATTGAGTAGTTATTTTGACTTTAGCTTACTCAGGTCTTGCTGAGAATTGTGTCACTAGGCACTCTTTCAGAAAAAATAGGAAAAAACAAAAAAACCCCAAATACCTGTGATTTTCTCTTCAAACTATTTTAGGAGCTAGGCAGCAATTAGTGTTGTGGCAGCAATTAGTGTTGCCATATTAATATGGAAAGACATTTTTGTGGCAGCATTGCTTTTCTTGTTATTAACTACCAGTACTACATACTAATGGGAGAGCACTGATATTAAGATTAATGAAGTGGTTACTTCATCCAGGAAGAGCAGGCAGGGGTATTATTTCTGAATGTTCAGTGAATACATTTATTAATGCTAATTAGAAGTATTTAGGCTAATAAGTGTGTCCATGTTGTATCTAAATAATATATACTCGTCTTAAAACTCATTAAGTTTTCTTAATAAATGTTGGAATCTCCATTAGGAGTAGCAGTTTCCAACCTAATTACTTGAGTTTTTCTTGGCACACAGCCACATCCATATAAACACACACACATACACACACTCAAAGGCTCCTAATTATTCCAGAGAGTAGCTAAGTTTACTTTCCTGGTTCTCTGATTAAGAAGAATAGAACTTTTATTTCACCTTGGTGTTAACTACAGATAAAGAATTTGAAATACTTAAAAGAAAAACATAATTACTGTACTATGTAATTCATACAAATTAAATTGTATTAATTGATAATAAATAGTTCTAGGAACTCTTAGGAAACATATTTAAACTTTGCTTATTGGTTCTAATTTGAATATAGCAATATTTTGATGAGTATTCAGATCTTGGTAAAGTACTGTGGAATATCTTTATCAAAAGAGTTTCAGTAATTTTTGTAATATGACCTTCACATTTAAAGCAGTCATGATATTGCTGACAAAGATCTGTGCTGTGTTGTAATTTTACTGTCAGTAGAAATTACACATGAGTTGCTTATACACTCTGAGGCAAGGTATTCCCTGCTTGAGGGTCAAAGCTTTGATTATGATCACATTACTGTTAGTTTGCAGATACATTCACTTTTTGGTTTTGAAAAAAATAGTATTTTGTCATGAGTGCAAATCTGCATTCTGTCCATACCTAATTGTCTACTGCTCTTATAGAATTAACTTCTGCCATGAGTCACCAAACAAATGATTAGAACTGTTTTTTCTGAAAATGGTTTTGCCACTGATTTTGCTATTGGTAATAGTCCATCACTAATCAACACTTAGAATGTCCATGAAGATTTTTTTCTTGAAGCTATTCTTCTATAACACAAATAGTTATCAATATATAATCTGACTTAGACAAAAAGAAGATCCCCTCTTCTAAGATAAATTGATCTTCAACAAGGGTGCCAAGACCATTCACTGGAGGAATAGTCTTTTCAACAAATGGGGCTAGAACAAATGGATATCTAGATGCAAAAGAATGAAGTTCACACCATATATAAATATTAACTTAAAATGGATCAAAGACCTAAATTTAAGAGCTAAAACTATAAACATGATTTTTGCAAATCATATACATGGTAATGGATTAATACCCAGAATATATAAAGAACTCCTGTAACTCCACAACAACAAAAAAACACAAACCCAATTATAGGCTAAGGACTTGAATAGACATTTCTCCAAAGATATACAAATGATTAATAAGGACATGAAAAGATGCTCAATATCACTAGGTAAATGCAAATTTAAACTATAATGAGATACCACTTCACATCTATTAGAATGGCTATTATAAAAAATAGAAAATAACAAATGTTGGTGAGGAGAAAATAACAAATGTTGGTGAGGATATGGGGAAATTGGAACCCTTGTGCACTTCTGGCAGGAATGTAACATATAATAGACACTGTGGAAAAGTTTGGTGATTCCTCAAAAAGTTTAGCAGAGTTATCATATCCAGCAATAAATATATCCAGAACATCTGTTTGTGTTC